TTGAAGTAGACACACTTCAAACCACCTTCCTGCCTGCCGGTACACTCCTGCGACCTTGAAACCTTATTCATGACCTCACTACTCTCAACCTCCTGTACACTGGAGCTACTTTTCAGGTTCCCATCCCCCTGCTGAATTAGTTTAAACCCTCCCGAAGAGCATTAGCAAATTTCCCCCCCAGGATATTGGTACCCCTCTGGTTCAGGTGTAGACCATCCCGTTTGTAGAGGTCCCACCTACCCCAGAATGAGCCTCAATTATCCAGGTATCTGAATCCCTCCCTCCTGCACTATCCCTGTAGCCACGTGTTCAACTGCCCTCTCTCCCTATTCCTCACCTCCCTAGCACGTGGCACGGGTAACAAACCAGAGATAACAACTCTGTTTGTTCTAGCTCTAAGCTTCCACCCTAGCTCCTTGAATTTCTGCCTTACATCCCCATCCCTTTTCCTACCTATGTTGTTGATGCCTATGTGGACCATGACTTGGGTCTGCTCCCCCTCTCCCTTAAGGATCCCGAAAACACGATCCAAGACATCACGGACCCTGGCACCTGGGAGGCAACACACCAACCGTGAGTCTCTCTCGTTCCCACAGAATCTCCTATCTGTGCCCCTAACTATGGAGTCCCCAATGACTAATGCTCTCCTCCTCTCCCCACTTCCCTTCTGAGCAACAGGGACAGACTCTGTTCCAGAGACCTTCAATAATTGAATAAGAGAACTTATAGGCCGGTATCCAGGACAGACCACACCTTGGAACGTCCACCTACATCTGGTTTGAAACAGTTAAATTGCTTAGCAACATCCAAATCAAAATAAATGTCTGATTAAATGGTCACCCGGTTCTGATGAAGGTCGATACCAATGTGGCTGAATCAGTGATCGCAGAGCCAGGCTTTAAAAAAATTACTTGGAATCCAACCCTTAAGTATGCGCAAGACCGCGGCTAGACTGAGAACCTGTACCGGGGAACCTTTACAGATTAAGGGTACAACTTCGGTTCCAGTGTCTTATGAGAAGTAGCTGGTTCAGTTAACCACTGATTGTAGTAAAAAGCTCAGGCGCAAGCTTGATGGGGTGAAATTGGCTGAGAAAGATTTACCTAGATTGGCTCAACAGTTTTTGATTGAAAAATGGCTGTAAGAGTGAAGTCCTAATTAAATACCAGAAGTTTTTCAGGAAGGTCTAGGGAATGTCAAAGGAGCCAAGGCCAGCTTCCAGGTTGACCAGGAAATAATTCCTTGATCCTGCAAGACCTACCCAGTACCTTATGGGCAAAAGTAGAGGCAGTATTGAGGAGGGTGAAAAGAGAAGGAATCTTCAAACTAGTCCAGTTTGCGGAAAGGGCAGCACTGGGCATACTAATTGTGAAGCTCGATGGGTCGGTTCGCCTATGTGGGGATTTTAAACAAAACAGTAAACCGCTTTTTGTAGCTCGATAAATACCCAATTCCTCACATAGAGGATTGAAATGCAAAGCCGGCCAGGAGACTGTCCTTCACGAAGCTGGACGTGAGCCATGTGTACTTGCAATATTGGTTAGATGAGGATTTCCAGAATGAATACCCACAGGGTTTGTACCAATAGACCAGACTGCCCTTTGGGATATCGCAAGTCTGTGCCATTTTCTGGTGGGCGATGGAGAACAGTTTACGAGGTCTACCCCAGGTCGCCATTTATCTGGATGACGTGCTAATAACTGGGAAGACCAATAAAGAGCACTTAGAGAGCTTGGACGTAGTTGTCAGATGTTTCTCCAAGGTGGCGTATGCCTTAGAGGGGAAAATTGTGTGTTCCGGGGACCCCAAGTGACCTACTTGGGCTACAGAATCAACAAAACTGGGTCACACCCGTTGGAAGATAAAGTGAGGGCAATCAAAAGTGTCCTGGCTTCCATGTCTGTACCAGAGCTTAGGTCTTTCCTTGGACTGGTGAATTACTACAGAAAGTTCATACATAACCTGTCCTCCATCCTGGCATCCTCACATCTGCTATTGTAAAAGGGTCAGCCTTGGAAATGGTCTCATAGCCAAGACGTAGCCTTTTAGAGAAGTGAAGAAGCAGCTATCATTGTCTAAGGTATGCTATGATCTCAAGCGAGATCTGCAATGCTTACCTGTACGGTAGTGTTGGCTAACAAATGGCCCAATGGAGAGGAACACCTAATAGCGTATACTTCCCAGACTTTGGCTGATGTAGAGTACAAATGCACCCAGATAGAGAAGGAAGATTTGGAGGTCTTCTTAAGTGTGAGAAAGTTCCAGCAATACCCTTACGGATGTAAATGTGTAACAGTAACAGACCATAAACTCCTGCTAGGGTACTCAAATAAGACAAGACTGTGCCACCCATAGCTTCAGGTCAAATTCAGTGGTGGGCTCTCATTCTAAGTCCATACAATTACAAGTTGGAACACCATCTGGGAAGCCAAGTAGCAAATACAGCTGCCTTGAGCCACCTCCCGCTGGCAGATACACTGCTGGTGGTGTCTCCTCTGGCAGAGTCTGTTCTGGTTTTAAACCTTCTGGATACATTTCCGGTCACTGCTGACACTATCAGACTGTGGACACAAAAGGATCCGACCCTGGCAAACTAAAACAGCTGGTGGTGGTGGGGGAAACAGTAGGGCCATCACAACCGGAATTGAAACCTTTCTGGACGTGGCAAGACTAGATCACAATAGAGGACGGCATTTTATTATGAGCAGCAAGAGTATATGTCCCCGAGTTAAGGTCGCTGAACTCTACAGGGTGACCAAAATGAAGATGTTGGCGAGAGGTTATGAGGTAGTAGGAACTGCAGATGCTGGAGAATCTGAGATAACAAGGTGTAGAGCTGGATGAAATTTTTCTGAGGAAGGGTCTAGGCCCGAAATGTCAGCCTTCCTACTCCTCTGATGCTGCTTGGCCTGCTGTGCTCATCCAGCTCTACACCTTGTTATCTGAGAGGTTATGTCTGGTGGCCATGATTGGATGCAGACATAACCCCATTGGTGGAACAGTGCCCAGAGTGCCAACAAGGACAGAAATTACCGCCACCAGCAGCTCCCCCACATTTGTGGGAACGGTTAGGTAAACCCTGGACTAGGTTACACATTGACTATACAGATCCTTTCATGGGCTCAATGTTCTTAGTCATCGTGGACATCCACTCAAAGTGGTTAGACGTGCATAAAGTTCGTTCAGCAAACACGGGGATGACAATAGAAAAATTTGGCGCATCTCTTGCAATACCTGGGCTCCGGGAAGTGCTGGTTACAGACAACGGGTCATTATTTACCAGCAGGGAATTTGAGTATTTCCTAAAGTCGAATGGCAACTCCATACCATCCATCGTCTAATGGTCTGGTGGAAAGAGCAGTCCAAACTTTGAAAGGCAGGCTTAAAGAAACAGCCTACAGCTTCACTCGATACCAAACTGTTCCGGTTCCTGTTTGATTATAGGACCACCCCTCACGCAACTACAGGGATAGCTCCAGCAGAGTTGTTAATGGGGAAGAAGGCTCCACACCAGGTTAAATCTGATCTTCCCAGACGTGGGGGTGTGAGGGTGAAACGACATCAGGGACGCCAACGCTGGGCATAAGACTCTTCGAAGTGACAGTTTTATTTCAAGTCATGGAAATTTTTCCAGCACGGGTAAGACGCATGGTCAACGCAAGGTCAGGTCCCTGCAGGTAAAAAGTTCATGTAGGTGAGGCGGTCCTGCAAACTCACAAAGGGGGCAGGAACAAAACATACATCGCCCCTCAGAACACCTGGAAAGGCTGACAGAACCCATCCAGCCAGTGTCAAAGAAGCCTCTGAGATGAAAATGGTGGGTGTCGCATACTCGAAGCCTTTATTGCCTGAAGAAGAGGATGATTTTTTTTCCAAGATGCTGCAGGCACAGGAGGTGGGCTAGAGTCCAGTTCACACCGCCCATATCCAAGGCAGAATTGAAGGAACCAGACTGGGTGCGAAAACGCCCCAGGAAAGGCTACAAGAAAAAGCATAGGCCTACATTTCCTGGACTTAGAGAGGGAGAGATGTAGTGATTGTAGCAAAGTCAGCCAGGAGAACCTCATAGAAGTTCCCTGATTGGGGGTGTTAATCTGGTCCAATCAGGGAGCCCTGGCTGACATATATACAGGAATGTCAGAGGCTCTGTTCACTCTGAGAGCTGGCTCAGTGTTAATTACTATGCATGTGTAAATAAAGAGTGACTTGCTGAAGAGATATCAGCCTCTGTGAAGTTATTTCAGGCAACATCCCAGTTCTGGCTCAAACAGTACTGAGTATCAGAAATGAAATATTCCCCTTGTTAGTGGCTGGTAATTTTTTGATGGGAAAAAAATGTTCAAAGGCAGAACATTGCAACAACTAAAGAAGCTTTTGACAACAAAAGACAGATTCCATAAAACCAAACAATTTAACAGTGTAAAGTATGCCATTCAGCCCATTTGCTGCATGCCAGCAAATGTCAATCAGCAAATCACAAATTGCCAATGTGTAGGCTCGGGGTGGCATGGTAGCTCAGTGGTTAGCACTGCAGCCTCACAGCACCAGGACCCAGGTTTGATTTCACCCTCGGGCAACTGTGTGGCCGGACAGTTTGTACATTCTCTCCTTGTGTGTGTGGGTTTTCTCCGGGTGCTCCGGTCAGTCCAAAGATGTGCAGGTTAGGATGGACTGGCCGTGCTAAATTGACCAGGGATGTACAGGCTAGGTGGATTAGCTGAGAGAAATGCAGGGTTACAGGGATAGAGTGGGGGGGGGGACTCTGGGTTGGATATTTTTCAGAGGGTTGGTGTGGACTCAATGGGCCAAATGGCCTGCTTCCATACTGTAGGAATTCTGTGAAGGTTATGACAGGACCAAATGGTTCAAAAGTGTTTTTAAAGTCATATTTCAAAAGCATTTAAGAATGGTTTGGTGATCAATCATACAAAAGGATAGGGGGAAGATTTTCACTGGTGCTCTGCGCTTGTCCCCAGGGTGAGGACCTTTATTGTGGGGCGATGAGCTTGAGGGGTAAGAGTTCGTGTGAAGGACCACTTCCGGCAAGGAGCCGCCATGAAGCTCCTGACCCACAACTTGCTGAGCTCGCATGTGCGAGGGGTGACCCGCGGCTTCCCGCTGCTACTAAGGGTGAGTGAGGGCCTCCCGGTATCGGGAGAGGGCCTGGACCAAAGGAGGGAGGGCGGGCGGACGGACTGAGCCTGAGGCTGGCAGCGCCTGCAGCCGGATGCCATAGTAACCGACAAGGGACCTCGTCTGCCTTAGAGGGTGCAGCCTAGCTCCTCCTGTGGCTCGGAGGGTGAATTACATCGTGGGGGCATAGGATGTAGCCCGGCGCCCCCTGTGGCTGGGAAGGTTAATTACAGCATGGGGGAGCCTGGAGGGTGCAGCTAAGTGCCTGCAGACTCAGGAAGCATGTCAGTGCCCCCTGTAGCTCGGATGGTGAATTACACACCGGTGCGGAAGGATAATCTCAGTGCTCCCTGTGGTTGGGAGGGTGAATTACACCCTGTGGCCGTGGGAGGGTGAGTTGCAGCAAGGGGCAGAGGTGGTGTCTCGGTGCCCACATGTGACCAGGAGGGCGAATTGCACTCTGGTTCATAGTGAGGGTTCCAGCGCCGCCTGTGGCTGGGAGGGTGAATTATGTCATGGGAAATGGTTGACGATCTCATTGACCCCTGTGGCAGAGTGGGTGAATTACACCAGGGACAAGGTGGGCGTCCCTGCGCCCCCTGTGGCCGGGAGGCTGAATTACACACGGGGC